TTTTTACTCTGAAGGTTTCCTAAACATACGTTCAATAAGCATGCATGCTATTGCGAATGGAAAAAAAATGACAGACTTGCTTTTAAAAGTGATATTGCCGGAGCTGTAAAATTTGTTTAATTCGTAGAAACAATCGACTGGGATTTTTTTATTAGTATTTATTAGGGAATTTTCTAGAATACAGTGTGCAGAAGTTTGAAAAAATATTCACCTGTTAAGACAAATTGATATAAGTCACTGTGCAAAAGTTGGAGAATCTATGTTCTATCTATAGGTAAGGAGCTATTTCACAATAAGTTGCGCCGTGCATTTTGACCGCACTATAGGCGTAAGTTGGTATACTATGAATTTAATTTGTACTCTTAACTCAGATTCCACGCAAGGCGTTGCATGCATGATTAATGATCTCTTTCCAATATAATAGCATATAATTATACCCTGCCGACCCCATCGTTCGCCCCCACATTCCCTTCGCCAAATCTTTCCACCTCTCTCTCTCTCTCTCTCTCCCTCTCTCTCTCTCTCTCCCTCTCTTTGATTTCTTTTATTGACACATAATAACAACGTGGGTGCAGACGTGAATAAATTTCAAATTTTGGTTCACCCACGGCCACTGGATACCTCACAATTGTATTCAGACATTTTAAACATTCTCCTAGTAATAACTCCTTGCGTCAGGAGCTTCGTTAAACTGGCCGTTTTCCTCCAGTATTTTTGCGAAGTCCAGATGCATGCACATCTGCGTACAGTCTAGTAACACCAAGCCTTAGCGCAGGTAGGACCGTACGTACGGTCCCGTAACATAGCCTTAGATCAGAGAGTATTTAATTATGTCACTCTAAAATTAAGTGGCCCGCATGCTTTTGTCCTAAAAAATATAAAGTAATTGCAACTGGATCGGGTAAAAAAAAAAAGAAAAATAAAATAAAATGGTGTAGATCTAGAAATCTAGATCTAATAATAAAATAAAAATGATAATCGATATCTAATACATGTGAGTGAATAGGCTAAAAATAATGTTCAACTTAAAGAAAGTTTTTAGAGAAGTTTAAAATTTTAATTCACTTTTAAAAATAGATTCTTAAACAAGACACCACAGGGCGTTAGGCCTATTAATAAGATTTTAATGATAAGGCCTAAGCTGAATTTAAATTTTGGTTCTGATTCAACGTTTCGTTTCATTTTTTACGCCACCATTTCCACGAAAACAACACCGGATGCCAAAATTAAACTTGCTCCGCGACAAGATCTAAACCTCGAGCTCAAAGTTGCAACTTCTGCTTGACTGTATCTTCTCTTTTAGGAACATACAGACAGACATTATGAGTAGCCTAGGGTTTTGTTCAATTTCCTTTAGCAAAACTACCAAAATAAAAGGAATAAAAAAGGCAAATGGAAGCAACAAAATTACGTTTTTTTAAAAACTAGCCTATTTTTAGCTTTGGAAATATCCGCGAGCCTGCTTGCCTGGAAAAGAATTAAAAAAGAAGAAGCAGAAATGTCAAAAAACAAAACAAACGAAAAGCTGAAAAGCGTTTAAACATCAAACAAAGGCCAGAAGAGGCCAGACCGTTGGTCACTGTGGTCAGTTCACGACATGTGATTGTGAACTCAGCTGAAGAGGCGCGTGGTTTTTTCACAAGAGGCCCAAGTTAAGAAGCCGAAGTGGATTGTTTCTTTGTAAGTTAACATCCAGTCAAATCAAATCCTTTTCGCGACAGAATAGACTAGTCTAGATTAGATTAGATTAGATCTAATAGATCTAGATCTATATCTAGATCTAGATTTATTTGTATATTGATTTTGGACCTCGTTTGTCACACCCGGTCCTGGGTATCCCACCTTTTGACAAAACAACTGGACACTAGATTTAGATCTATCTAGATTCTAGATCTAGAATTCTAGATCGAGATGTAGATCTAGATCTAGCTCTAGTTTAGTTTTAGTTTTGAAGTACGGCAGTGGTCAGGCTAGTCGCCTATCAGCCGTTCGTTGCTTTCATTCATTGCTTTCATTCATTGCTTGTTCCTTCCTGCTTGTTGTTTTCACACACTCTGTTATCTGTAGGTTGGTGCTCATGGATCTGGCAGTTTGAAACCAATCTAGGTTCATGGAGAATTAACAAATACATTCAAGTCACTAGGCCTAAGGCACCTTTTGGTTCTGTCTCAAATACAAATACTTTTGGCATTGCAAACTAAAAATTTCATTTACAAGTCAGTCATCAATATTAAACTTACGGCTAGCCTGACAGTCTAGCCGTCCTTAAGTACGGCTAGCCTGGCTGTCTACCCGTTCGTACTTAATACTTAAATACGGCTAGACAAGAAGTCTAGCCGTACTTAAAGACTGCCAGTCTAGCCGTACTTATCTTAGGCCCTATTAACATTAGAAAACAGGAGGTTTAAAATACATTAAATACACTGTCATTAAGGCACCTGGTTTCGTCTCAAATACAAATGCTTTAGGTACTGCACACTAAAAATGTATATTTACAATTCAGTAGGCCTATTTTTTGTAAATGGTCAGTCTAGCCATCATATTAAGAATAAGTACGGCTAGACTGGCAGTCTAGCCGTCATTAAGTACGGCTAGCCTCTTCCAAAATAGAAACACAGGATCCATTCACTCCAGTGCTCATGAGCCGTTCCTCTCTTTCAGTTTCACTTATTCATTCAATTCCCGTGTTCTCTCCCGCGGCTCATCCCCGTCCGCATGACTTTCACACCCCACCCCCTCCCTCCAGGCACACAAAGAAAATCTCACTCATTCCCTAGCACCCTGCGAACCATGGACAACAATACTGTATAGGCAAAACGGTAAATTTTTACTTTCACTCCCGCACACAGATGCACTGTTTCAGGGGTCAAACTGCTGTACTGTTTGCTGCAGATCATACAGAAATCCACTAAAACTGTCGCAAATCAATTATTTTCAAGACAATTTCAAATCTAACTGTAAAATATCAAATTATGGGTGTAAAAACAGGGGGGCATGCCCCCCCTGTAACCCCCCAGATTTTCTTTTACCCCAGTGGGGCAGGCCCCCCTGGAACCCCCCGATTGGTCCAAAGCATGTCTATCTCGGTTAAAAACAATCAAATATTTCAAAAACCATTAATTTGCGACGGAAATGAAGTTGATATTCGTGTTCAGCGCATCAATATTTAGTAGAAAATAGACAACTAGTAGCTGAGTGTGAGACGGGAGGGAAAGTAAAAAAATACCGGCAAAACACTGCCTTAGCCGCATTCCTTTCGTTCATGAGCTGTGGACCAGGCCAGGGGTGTCGGTGTTGTCGTCTTGTAGTTGCTGACGCCTGTGGATACACTCGTACATTCTTCCTTTCACCTGCTCTGTCACTCACACTGTCTCTCCATCCACAGCTCAGCTCGTCATACGTTGTGTGTGTACATGTGCATGATGGTGGTGGGTGTGAGGTAGGTGTTACTGAAGGTTGTCTGTAGGCGGGCTTGCCATGCAGTGTTCCTTCCCAGACCAGAGGCAGAGGCAGAAATTTAGTGGTGGGCAGAATCAGGATAATTTATCCAAATAACCAGTTAATTCTCAATGAATCGTTATCCGGATTCAGACTCCTGACTCTCTTTCCTAACCCGTTTGTGAAAATGGTTCTGATGTTCATCCTTCGCTGGCGAAGATGACCTTGACTTCACATCACTGGAGGAGTGGGGTGTGTGCGGAGATGGCTGATCAGGCTGATCTTCGCACGGAAATGTCTGTTGCAGTGGGGGCAGGGGATGTTTGGGGCTGAATTAGGCTGGAAGGTACGGCTCTCTCGGTCTTTTCTCAGCTGCCGTCTCTGTTTTTTCTTTCTGATGCGACTTTCTTCGAATTTCGCCACACCCGATCTTATCAAGGAGCGCCAGACTGTGCGGTCGCGAGCAGCTTCTTCCCAGGTGGTATGGGGAATTTCACAACTCTTCAGGGATGCTTTCAGAGCATCTTTGAAGCGTTTCTTCTGTCCGCCGAGAGAGCATACATGCCTTGGGTCAGTTCACCGTAGAGTAGCCTCTTTGGGAGGCGAGAGTCGTCCATGCGGTGAACGTGGCCGGCCCATCGGAGCTGAGAGCGCAGTAGGATAGCGTATGCTCTCCATCTTGGCCCGCTGTAGTACTTCAGTGTCTGGGACTCTGTCTTGCCACTTGATTGAATGGTTCTAACCCATTTGCTGAAGCGGTTCATAACCCATTTGCAGAAGAGGATCAGACTCTCTTTCTAAACGCGTTTGCACAAATGGGTCGGACTCTCTTTCTGAACTTTCATAACTCGTTTGGGAGAGGTTGTTTTACCCCCAGTGGGTCGGGGGGATATAAATAGACCCACTGCTTCGTCTGCAGAAGGTGCAACCCCTTCAAAGGCGAGGTGTCGCACTCGGACCCCAATCCTCTGAGATCCGGATGCGACACCTACTTTGGTGTATCTTCCTCTTCTTCTTCTTCTTCTTCTTCTTCTTCTTTCCTGCCACCGCTGACCTCATGTGCAGCAACAAGAGAGGTCACCCATCCCACAGAGTGGGCGCCTTGTTGACCGTGAGGTGCGACCCGTGCGGAGGGAAACCGGGTACCTGGCGGTTGAGGTGAGATCAGTCCACGGACTGTCCCTCGCCAACACACCTCTTTGGCCTAGGTTTTCCTCTTAGACGGGAGGGTGGCACGGCCCATGCCACTCAATCGGTTGAGAGCTGAAACCCCATCAAGCCCTGGGTCAATCTTGACGGGAGGGTCTCGTACTTTCTCGTTGAGAGTATAGCTCCGGGGTAGCCCTGGCACAGCTCCGGTTATCCGAGCTATGTGTCCCCTTGTTGGGCTCTGTGGCGGGCGGGGAGCCCCGGAGTCGAATCAAATAGAAAACTCTCATGGATTCTAAAAATCAAAAAGACCCTTCCCCAGCTCCCAACGTTAAAAAGTCTCGGCTCGCGGAAGCGGGTGCGGCCGCCGAGCCGAGCAAACAAACTACTAAAGGAAAAAGGACCTTTACGACTGCCTCTGCCCTCCCTCCTCTCAGGGAGCTTCCGCGGCAGCCGTACTTGACCATCCGCAGCACCGATGCACAGAAAAAGATGACTGATTTAAACGTTTTCAAGATAGGAGATGCTCTAAGACAGGTTCTGGGATACATTCCTACGAATGTCCAGAAACTGTCCTCTGGTGCTCTCCTCATCAAGTGTGCATCGAATAAAGAACTGGCCGGACTTGAAAAGATAACGACCTTCGGTGGTGTTCCTTGTGTTTCCGAGCGACACCAGAAATTTAACCAGTCGAAGGGCGTGGTCCGCAGCCATGAGCTGAAGGGCTGCTCCAACCAAGATATCGTGGATAACTTTGAGGGTGTGGTCGAAGCCCGCCGAATTACTATTCGACGGGGGGAGTCCACGCTAGAAACGAACACAATAATTCTAACTTTTGATTCGTGCCGCCCTCCAGCCACCGTTCGGGCATCATACTTGGTCTTGGACGTACGACCCTATGTGCCGAACCCTCTACGCTGCTTTCAGTGTCAGAAGTTTGGCCATAGTCAGTCGCGATGCCGACGTGCAGCCGTGTGTCCTCGCTGCGGCAAGACTGGGCATCCTGAAAAGGAATGCAAGGCTAGTCCTTGCTGCCCAAATTGCCAAGGCCAGCACACAGCCTTCAGCAAGGATTGCCCGACTTGGATTCAAGAACGCGCAATCCAAGAGTATAAAGCACGAAATGGCTGCTCTTTTCAAGAAGCCCGAAAAGCTGTCTGCCCACCAGGTATGACCCCGGTCCCTGGCCGGTCATACGCAAGCGTACTCCGGCCAGTCACGAAGTCGACCAGTGCTTCCACTGTCGACCCCCCAGAACCCGCGGTCAACAAGAAACTTACTGCGAAACACAAAAAGGTTGCTCCTAAAACTGTGGTACCCACCTTCCAGGTACCACTAACTAACCGCTTTGGGGTTCTTGGGGAGGATGGGGTGGACTCTTCCTCCACCCCCCCTTCTCCCCCTCACCCCTCCTCTATTACTTCTTCTTCTTCTTCTTCTTCTTCTTCTTCTTCTTCTTCTTCTTCTTCTTCTTCTTCTTCTTCCACCTCACAACCCATCTCTCTGATGGAGATTGAGGTACTCCCTCCCCCCTCTCCCCAGCCCCCTCTGTCTGCTCCACCTCCCTCTACCCCTCCACTCCCCCCACTACCAATGGAGGAAGACATCTCCGACCCCCCTCCCCGGCCTGAACCCGGGAAGGGCGGAGTCTGTCACTCCTCCAAATCCCCCACTAGACCGCCGTCCAATCCAGGACGGCAACCTAGAAAACACTCTGCCTCCCCCGTAAGGAGGAGTCAGAGTGCTTCTTCGAAGCCGGGGCCTAAGTGCTCCAAATCAAAAAGTAAAAATTCATAATGGCGGTCCTGCAATGGAATGCCGGCGGAATCCGACCTTCCATTGCAGAATTGCAACTGAACTAGTCCCAGATCTTGAGTGGTCTGTGCTGGATGACCGTACGGACCATTTCCCAATTCTCCTCAAAAACAATAGCCTCCAAAACGACCCGATCCCAGAACGCTTCAACTTCAAAAAAGCCGACTGGGACGGGTTTGCCAATCAATGTTCCAAGATTCTTAATCCCAATTTCGACCACAACTACAATAAATTTCACGAAAAACTCTTAGAAATATGCCACAATCACATTCCAAAAACAAAAACAAAACCCCGGAGGAACAAGATCTGGTTCTCTTGGGAATGTGAGGACGCAGTAAAGAAAAAGAAGGCAGCGTATCGAACAGCCGTCAACAACACCACCATAGAAAATAAGATACTTTATTTAAAGGCTCGAGCTGAGGCACGTAGATGCCTCAGGGAGAGCAAAAGACAATCATTCCAAAAATACATCTCCAAAATCAACAGCCAGACACCACTCAATCAAGTTTTCCAAATTGCTAAAAAATTCTTAGGTAGACGCACAGACACCATTCGGCACGTCCAGAGGCCGGATGGAACAACAGCTGAAACACAAGTAGACATTGCAAACACAATAGCTACATCTCTAGCCAAAAACTCATCCCAAGCAAACTACAACACCACTTTTCAAAACGTCAAAACTAACAGAGAAAAACAACACCTAAACTTCCACTCAAACAACACTGAAACCTACAACGCAGACTTCACAATAGACGAATTAACATCGTGCATCTCGGACCTGGGCGATACAGCCCCGGGACCGGATGACATCCACAACAAGATCATTAGACACTTACCCTCAGAAACACTCACACTCATACTACACATATACAACGACATGTGGCGGTCGCACTCCTTTCCGGAGTCTTGGCGTCTCGCCACTGTCATTCCAATACCCAAACCAAACAAAGACCACACACACCCATCCAATTACAGACCTATAGCCCTAACGAGCTGTCTCTGCAAACTAATTGAAAAAATGATTCACAGGCGACTCATGTGGTTTCTGGAAACGACGGGCTCGCTGAGCGGTCTCCAGTGCGGATTCAGGAAAACCCGATCCACTCTGGATCACCTGGTCCGCCTGGAGACCTTTATACGCGAGACGTTCGCCGAAAGAGGCCACATGATCGCCATCTTTTTTGACCTAGAAAAAGCCTTCGACACAACCTGGAAGTACGGCATTCTTCAAGACCTGCACGCACTCGGCATACGCGGTCACCTCCCTGCCTTCATTGGCAACTTCCTGAAGAACCGTTCCTTCCAGGTTCGTGTCGGATCCTCCCTTTCAGACCCCCACCAACAGGAGGAAGGAGTCCCCCAGGGGAGCATCCTTTCTCCTCTCCTTTTCGAAATTAAAATTAACTCCATAGTGAAAACCCTCCAGAACAGCATAGACAGCTCGTTATACGTTGACGACTTCTTGATATGCTGCCGATCGAAAAATCCTCATTTGAGATCTATGGAAAGGCAGCTGCAAACGCAGCTGCAAAAACTTGAAACGTGGGCAAACAACAACGGTTTCAAGTTCTCCCCGTCAAAGACGGTTGCAGTACACTTCTGCCGAACAGGCAGACGTGTGCTGCAGCCGGATTTGACACTATACGGGGAAAGGATTCCCGTCCAGGACCAAGCTCGTTTCCTCGGTGTCATTTTCGACAAAAAACTTACATTCATACCACACATCAAAGACCTTCGTGTGAGGTGCCAGAAAGCGTTAAACGCTTTGAAAATTCTATCACATCCGGAGTGGGGCGGGGACTCAAAACACCTTCTCCACTTGTACATCTCCCTTGTCCGGTCCAGGCTTGACTACGGCTGTCAAGTCTACGGATCGGCAAAACCACACGTCTTAAAAATACTAGATCCAATACAGAACCAAGGACTCCGCCTCGCTCTGGGGGCTTTCCGCACTTCTCCGGTGGAGAGCCTCCAGGCCGAGGCCAACATTCCACCACTCTCACTCAGACGCACACAACTCTCACTACAATACGCAGTTAAACAGAGCTCAACACCGGAAAATCCAGCGCACAACAGCATTTTTCAAACAAATCCAGAAACCAGAAACAGATTCCAAAACAACGAAAAACTCATAAAACCTTTCGGCCTCAGAATCCTTGAGGACCTCAAAAACTTACACTTTTCCAAACAAGACATCCAACAAATTCTTTTCCCCGACCTCCCTCCGTGGCACCTCACCAAGGCAAAAGTAGATTTACAGCTGACCACACACAACAAAGAAAGCACAAACACCAAAACATTTCAAGCAGAATACAAAAAACTAATAGATAAATACCCCGGTGCGGAGCTCATCTTCACGGATGGCTCCAAAAAAGACAATGAAGTGGGCGCCGCAGCCCTATCTCCCAACAATACACACCAGAGGAGACTCCATCCTGAAGCCTCCATTTTCACTGCGGAGGCCACTGCCATTGACATGGCACTGGACTCTGTAGAAAATTCTCCTAACAAATCTTTCCTTATCCTTTCTGACTCTCTGTCTTGCATCAAGTTCGTACACTCACAAACTACACACTCTTACACCCAAAAATAGTTAGGCTACAACAGAAAATCCATACACTATCCGAAACAGGAAAAAACATCATGTTCGCATGGATCCCAAGCCATGTGGGCATCCGAGGAAACGAGCAGGTAGACGACCTGGCGAAGAAAGCCTCATCCCTTCTGCTGGGATCAACGACAAACACTCTCCCACAGACTGACTTTAGAAATAAAGTCAAAAAGTATACCTCCAGTCTGTGGGAGAGCCACTGGGAAAACCAGAAAAATAATAAATTATATGAAATTAAACCCAGACTAGAACAGCGAAATCCTTCGGATCTCTCCAGAAGAGACGAAGTCATTTTTACTCGATTGCGCATCGGACACACGGCCCTGACCCACAAATACCTCCTACAGGGAGAGGAGAAGCCGTTCTGTGTCGGATGCGACACAGATTTTACCATTAGACACATTTTAACAGAATGTCTAGACTTTGGAGAGATCCGAAGGAAATATTATAAATGCAAAAAATTGCAGGATATTTTCTCCGTCGTTGTTCCCAGCAGAATTTTAAATTTTATAAAGGCCATTGGCCTTTATGGCGAGTTGTAAAGTGAATCTGATATTATTTAAAATTTTTATTGTTACTTAAAAGTTGTTTTAGATCACAAATGTATTTACACCGAATTTGAATATTTTAACTTTTTAGCATTTTAAATTAAATTAGTTACCAGTCGTGAAGTGAACTTTCGCAGAGGTGAACAACTTGTGTTTCGCGCGCTCATATGACCTTAGCAGTTGCGAGCGCCGTAAAACCTTATACTACTACTAGAGGTTGTTTCCCTTGTTTTAGACTTGTTGAGTTGACTTAGCCTTTAGACCTTGGCATTGGTGTCAGAATATGTTTTTTTGTTAGTTGATCTCTTTCTCTGGGTTTAACGGGAGCACAATATATTTCTTCCCCGTGATCTGACATGACAGACTGATACTTACGGGGTTTCTAGACAAGGCTAAAAGTCATATACACTGGGCCTAGCAGATGATAAGCGTAGTGATGAAGTTAATCACGACGCGTTGGGAGACAAGACAACACTAGGATTGGCGGCACGTGTGATGTCTGCGACTCGCGCCTTTAAACTTTGAAGGCTGAGAAATCCTGTAGCATGTTTGGTGTCTTAGATCTATTTGCACTTTGACTTTTGTAGCTTAGGCTACTGTTACGTTTTCATTGTTCAGTGATCTATATATTTTTGGAGGTCGCTTTTAATGTGTGCGAGCGCGCGCCTGTGTGTGTATGTGTGATTGGTGGGGGGGTGGGGGGACGGGGTGCAGGCCGGTATGTACCTATGCAGTTAACAAAACAACAACAAAAACAAAACAAGAAACTAATCATAGAGTTGGTAAAATTACTAGATCTAGAATCTAGATCTATCACAGCTGCTTTCCTACCGGATGGGGAGGGCTAGGTGGTAGTGGTATTGTGAATGACGTCCGTCAGTCATCAACACCTTCACGCAAAGGCATGTTTGGGGGACGGGGGGAAAAAAAGAGGGGCGGGGGAGGGGGTTGGGACCTTGACATGATTTGACGTCACATCCTGCCCACAGTCGCTGTCGCCGGTACTGCGGTGGTGAATCAATTTACATACCACGTTTATTTTGTCCCAATGGATACTTTCTTCTATCTCTAAACAGATTGGAAAAAATAGCTGGCGCAGTTTCTTCTTACTGTTCACGTACATATAACTAATGGATCTGTAACTTTGAGAGAATTCAGACTTTTGAGATGAGTCAATAATTGTAAACTAGGATATAATAAAAAGAAGGGTATCTTTTATTAGGCAGCGCCGACCGTTTCACAAGTGATTCATACCCACTTTGAAGAGCGACTCACGCCCACTTTAGAATGGGGTGCAAAGGAAATTAGGGTTAAAATCCAGTTATTCGGACTTTCCTAATGGGGTGCACCAACGTATCCGGATTTTCCCAAAGCGACTCATTGCCCACCCCTAGGAGGAATGAAAGTTGGCGTCCAACTCTCGCAATAAATAGGCAAAAAATCACGAGACCGGAAGCCAGAAACCGTTCGGAGAAATAAAGATCGGCACTATTTCTCCGAACGTTCGGAGAAATAGTCACTTCGTAAAGATAAACACAAATTAATGCCAAAAAAACCCAAAGACGGTGAGGTCTAGTCAACAGTTTGACTTGAGGGTAACCCAAGAGTCTTGGGGGCAGCCCAGGAAGACGACAAAAATAGATGGCAGAAGTACATAATCTATGTTTGGGCCAATCACAAAGGTGTGCAAGGTGCACGCTGTAGCTTCATGTGTTTTTAATTGAACAAGAGTCTATACCACACTAATTAAGCCTAACAGCGAAATTTCTGAGCTTAATTCTATGTAAATTTCAAAAGGAAGTGGTTCCAGGTGAGAATAACCCATGTCTCGCTATTCTCACCCCCTCGTTTTACCGGAAATGCCCCTAGAGGGATCAGGGCTGAGGTTAGCGGACATGACCCTGTGGGGGCCAGGGCTGATGCCACATCTGACATCACCGTGTTCGTTAGATGTGACAACATCGTGTTCGTCACTGTTCTTGTCCGAATTGTCACAGTCAGGTTTGTCAGTTTGGAGCCAAATCCCAGAAAACTGTCAAGAGCAGAAGGATTTTTTTTTCTGGTACCTGTCGGTTCTCATAATCATAGCCTAATTCTCTGAGGGCTATATATATGATAAAACAACAAATTAAGGCTATGGCAATGGTAATTTTTAAAATCTGTAGTTGGCCTACATGAGGAAACAAGGGCCAATCACTCATCAGTCTTTTCCCAACCACCTGCGGTAAGCCACCGAGGGCCTAAGTGATTTTATTGGCCTGCAAGAGGTCAGGGGGGGGGGGGAGTCCTCGCTTCATGCCCACACCGGGGTGGGAGCTATTCGCACACAAGGGGGGGGGGGGGAGAGAATAGAATAGTGAGTCTTGGGTTATTGTCCTCCGGGGTGAGAATAACGAGACATAGGTTATTCTCACCGGGGTGAGAATTAATAAAGGTAGCCAATTCAAAATTTCCCACCAACTGAAAATGTTTAATGTGTCCTGCACGCTCATATGACCATATTATGCAGTTGCAAGCGCCGTAAAACAATTACTGGAAAAATAAGTCAAGATGTATAAAATTTAGCATTGAAGGAGCTTAGGCTGGTGTCAAAGGCAAAATTAGCAAGAAAATGGCCAGCAGTTTGATGACTTTCAATTTCAAAGCTTGAGTGTCCTTGATATTTTGTGCCTTTGATCAATGTTTTAAATAAAAATCCAGTAAGAAATGAGTTTTTAACTGATTCAGCCCGCAGTTACTTTTGACTCCAGACGCTAATAATTTATGACCGATTGGTGACCTCACGGGTTTTCTCACCAAAAATTTTAATTTTAAGATATATAACTTTGATAAAGCCCTAAAGATGTGGGGCATACAGAAATGTTCAGATACATACTATTCAATGAAAAAAAAGAAAAGGGGTTGAAATGTAAGCAGTCAGGAAAAAAAGACGAGAGGAAAGTGATGCAAAGAAAAGGGAGCAAGATAAGAGCCGCTCTGAGCGGCTTTGCACTTTGCGTCAAAACACAGGAGATGGTCAGCCATTGTGAGGGGTGCTGCAGGCTGAATCAATTACATGGACTTGGGTGTCAAACCAAAAAAAGAAATTCGAAAAAAGTTTCCCGACAGTCAGAAAAAAAGCTGACTTCCTTGATTACATCATTTTGATGAGTGCCTGATTTCACCACACTGCCTTACATGATGTTTGTTTTGTTGTACATTCATATTTTATAATTTTGATGATCCTTTCACTTCATTTCACAGTTTTCCTGCACCAAGGATCAGCTATTGAAAACAAAATTGCAGAGATGGGTTTTCCCAGGCCTGAATGCTTTGTCTGTAAGGATGAGCTAATACGTGGACAGAGCTTCGTCTTTTTAAAGGATCCAAAGTACATACTCTGTATGGTCTGCTATGACAGACAATATATTGGTGGCCATGAAACTTTTTCTGTGTATTTCCCTCAGCAGGTAATACCAAGTAAAGTCATAGAATCTTTATGTGAATACTTATTTGGGGGGGGGGGGTCTTGTTTTGGACATTCATCTTAGTTTAGGACTTGATTTAAGAGAGACCCAGATTCTCTGTCATTCGTCATGATCTATATTTCTGATTCAAGCGATCTCCCACTATGATAGTATTCGACCACAGTCTAAATTCTAATGTTGTTTTTCATGTATTTTTTGGTTATTCCTCATGTTGGTCTGTTGGTTATTTATATATCATTTTTCATCGTTTATAAAGCTAATGTGGAAGCCCCACTTGTGGCAGACGACTTACTCTTGCATTAGTTATCCGCATGCAATTAGGTAATGGTGTGTTAGATATGTGTCCCTGGTTATCAGTTTTCTTAGTATAAATTTGTTCACATTCAAAAGTATTGTTTTATCATTTGTTCGATGTACAGTAGAATTTGTATGTCATGAACTGGCTTTGACCCAATTTTAGTTTCAGTTTCAGCACAGCCCATATTCTCTTAACTCATTCAGTGCTGAGTGCTCCAGCAGTACTCATATACTGGGCAGTTTTGTTATGGCAACATGCAGTTAGGTCTACAGTCTACACACGAAAATTAATCAAAACTAGCATGCTCAATAGCTGTTGGAGCAGAAAAAATATCTCGTTTACCTTTTCCTTAGTGCATCACGATTAGTAAAATAACTTGGTATGGATTAGATAGAGTAATTCTTTCTATAAAGATAGCGAGGCAGAACGCGAGAATACTCGTCACTAGTATGTGTATGGGGCCCGGGTTTCGCGAGCATTCTCGTCCGTAGCACTGAATGAGTTAATTTCTCATAGATAACTGAAATAAAATGACAGATCATATCTGATACTGTTGCTCATTTTATTCATTTCAGATGCAAGAGGAAGTTGTCTCTTCATCACTTTATCTCTTTCCTTCTTTTTTTTTTTTTTTTTTTTTTGTCGGCAGGAAAATGTATCATCTGGAAGCGATGTAGTTCATACTGGCGTCCAGTGTGATGCTTGTCTTGTGAATCCCATCCGTGGCATACGCTACAAGTGCAGGATGTGCCCTGACTTTGACCTTTGTGCAAACTGTAAAGGACAAGGATGTCACTCTGAGCATAACATGACTGAGATTGCCGTGCCAAAAACCAAAAAGGTATGAGATCTGATCTTTTAGCCCATTTGTGACCTATTTTATGTTTGGCGTTTATCATTTTTACTACTGTGGAGTCCACTTACGAGTCCTGAAATAACAAGAAGTCTGTTATAAAGACACTGTTCTAAAACCCCGTTTTCCCCCCTTCTTTATCTTTGTAAATAAAATACTGCTATAGTGCTATCTGACAAACATGTTAGTCGGTATAGCGGAATATTGCTGCTGCTGTGCACTGCACAAAGGCCAATTATGCATAATGTAAAACCTCGCCATTGAGAAACTTGTTGGTGATCTAGCGAAACAAAGTGTGCCGACAATGAAGCCCGGCGCAAATGAGTGAGGAGGTTATGGCATGCGCAGACAAGCAGAACGCATCGCATGATAGGCCAGCCTAGTCTCTATTATCTAGGCCTACCATGCCTCTCACTTCTCCGATGCCGGGATGGAGAGGTCACAGTGCTGTGATGGGATGGAGTGAGTGTGTGAGGTGGGCAGGGATTGGTGTGTAACCAGTGTGCGCAAGCAGATGGAACGCACCACAGTGTGTGGTGGGGTAGGGGACAACACAGCGGGCGAGTCAGCCTAGAGTCCTTTCTTTCTGATCGCCAACGTCGAGCTGTCAACATTGCTAGTGCTAGAGAAAGAAACCGGATTCGATTTTTGATCAAGTAAAACCTAGAGGTTGCGTTGAACACAATCATCATCAGGGGAGATAATACAAAGATACAAACAGAACACCTTACTCATAGATTAGGCCTACAATTTTATTTCCCTTGAATTTATCACTGGATCCTTTATAATGGAGAATCCTGCTTTAACTATAATGGATATTTCACACCGCTCCCCTCCCTCTCGTTATAACAGGATTCCACTGTATCATACAGAAAAGGAAGCAAGTTGCAAGAAGAAGTTGTCTCTTCATCACGTCATTTCTTTCTTTCTTTTTTGTTGGCAGGAAAATGTATCATCTGGAAGTGATGTAATTCATACTGGCATCCAGTGTGATGCTTGTCATGTGAATCCCATCCGTGGCATACGCTACAAATGCAGGGAGTGCCCTGACTTTGACCTTTGTGCAAACTGTAAAGGACAAGGATGTCACTCCGAGCATAACATGACTGAGATTGCCGTGCCAAAAACCAATGTGGTATGTCATCTGATCTTTTAGCCTGTTTGTGACTTAATTTACGTTTGCCGTTTGTCATGTTTTTCTCATACAGAGAAGGAAGTATGTTGCTGCTGGGAAGTACAACATTTGTTAAGTGTGAAGCACAAGGACCATGATGGCGAATGCTGATGGTCACAGTTTGTATTTGGAATACTGCTTCTGTTAGATGCACTTTGTAAGACCCAAGCAAACTACATCACCACCTTTTAAAACATCAAAACTAATAGAACACAACACCTAAACTTCCACTCAAACAACACTGAAACCTACAACGCAGACTTCACATTAGACGAACTAACATCGTGCATCTCGGACCTTGGCAAGACAGCCCCGGGACCGGATGACATCCACAACCAGATCATTAGACACTTACTCACAGAAACACTTACACTCCTACTATACATATACAACGACATGTGGCGGTGGCACTCCTTTCCAAAGTCTTGGTGTCTCGTCACTGTCATTCCAATCCCAAACCAAACAAAGACCACACACACGCATCCAATTACAGACCAATAGCCAGAGCTGGTTGTAACGGAGTACAAGTACTCCGGTACTTGTACTTACGTTATAATTTTCGGTACTTTTACTGTACTCCGGTACATTTTGAGAACCAGTACTTTTACTGTACTCCGATACTTTTTATAAAAGTACTTTTGAGTACTTTTCAAGTACATTTTGAGTACTTTTGAAGCTTAATGAAAGAATAAGTGCCGACATTTCCGATCATAATTTACGGAACAAACACTCGGGCGGGCACAGGCGATCAACCAAGAGTTAAAAGTTGAGATTAAAGAACTGCCGTCGCGTCAAAGATCAGCCACTCTTGTGAAAGTGATCACATGCGCTGTAAAACTCCATGAAACGGTACAATGATCCCCAGACGGGATCACACCGAGGTGTGAACAGACCGATGGGCGTTTCTTTTCCCCAAACATCGCACTCGCATCTGAGCTCGCCACCTGAACTTTCATCCCTCGCTGGGTGGGTTGGGCCTACAAGTTCGCTCCAGACAGGATCACATCGAACTGTGAACTCTTCCCTGACCATTGAAGTTGAAGGCAGTTTTTCTCTATTCCTGAAATTGCGAGACAGCCTGAATTTTAATTGGTGTGGTCACAGCGTAATGGTACGTAACGACAAAGGCGGGGGGACTCAATCAGAGATGGAAGGCTACAATTTTTGGACTGGTAAAGGGGAGGGGCAACTGGATAAACGTAGATAAAGATCTCGAGACGATATGCTAATGAGTGTACGGTATAATATTATGGCTTGCCTCATGCCACCATGCTACTGTGATTGGTCATCAAGGATGACCACTCTTTGCTCGCTATATGTCATAAACCTACCCAGGGGTCACATCAGTTCTTGGGTCACTCTAGATTCTTCCTTAGCTTCGTCGGCTAAGATCCCGTATTTCCCTTGCTCCCGAGCACTGGGATCTTAGGCGGAGACTACTGTAGTAGAGAATCTTTGGTTACACTACACTTACTACACTCTAGGAAATTACATGTAGGCCTATTTTGGTTTGCCGTGTGCACCGTGGACTACACAGTGTGACCAAACTCTGTCTTACCACTATTATAATCAATTGAAACTGAAACTGAGTTCTCAATGTATATCAATCTAACAATTTTTTAGGCTACCTAAATTTCTTTTTTCCTTTTTTTGTGGTTTGTGCTTAAGACTACCTTGATTCCTTGAGGATTTGTTAAAGAAGAATTCAAAGCACTTTTTTTTGCTGGCCATTTTCATCAATTTTTTATTTTCTTAGATCAACTTTGTCTCTATATTTTCCAATTTTGATACTTTTTCTACTTTCCGACCTCTAGGACTGACTTACATTTGATCATATTGTCTTGCTCAAACAAGTTCTATTTATAATATCACTTACTCACTAGTTGCGTTTGTTTGTTTGCTGGGGTTTTTTTCAATTACACGGACAATTTTCACATACGTTCAGAGCGTATATTCAAATGGTTTGTATACTGTTTACATTATTAGTAATAAATGGCCGAATTTGTCAATTATACTAGATATGTTATTCAATATGATGTTTTGCATTAGCACTGAAGTGTTTTAGCATATTAGCAGAAAGTACTCAAAATGTACTCATAAGTACTTTTTTAAAAAGTACTTGTACTCAAGTACATTTTACAGGAAAGTACTTTTACTGTACTTAAGTACATATTTTAGATTGTACTTAAATTTGCACTTAAGTACCTTTTTAAAAGTACTTTAACAGCTCTGCCAATAGCACTAACCACGGCGTCACTTTTTGCCCGATTCTGTTACTTTTAGTTCGCGTGACTCAGCAGCCCGCCAGAGCTCCCCGCCTCGGGGTCACAGGGTTAATAAGCCCTGAAGCAACTTTGCCGGTGTCGGTTAGGAAGTTCGCATTTTGACTATGTTTAAAACGATATAACTTCTTCCCCATCCCTCATAGCAAACCATTACGCGGATGTACTAAAAGCTCAATGTCTTGAGATTTATTCTGCGTTAGAATGGTTAATTTCTGTGCCTTAGTTTTTGTTTTAGACAAGTGTTTGTAGAGTACCCAATTGGTCCTTACCTATTTTAGTTACAAACTTATGAATAAATGATTGTTAATTTAAAAAAGGCACGACAGATCTCTCCAAAATCTGTGTTAAACTGACTACGAATATCATGTCTTTTAACATGAGAAATCTTAAATCTGCGCGAGTAGAAATAGTCAAGTTATAAGAGAAGAAAGATGCACATCTGCATTTTTTAACTAAAGACGATCAGCGTTAGCTCTTATTTTACTATTAAACAAGAGAAAGTTACCATGCGTTTGTTCATGAATCATGCTGTGTCTGTGGCAGCCTGCATACAACTAAAAAGATATAATATAGAATCTAAGCAATTAAAAAACCCACAAAACCGTGTAAATACATGGGTAGAGATAAACTTTTTATATGGAATAAAATTATTGACAGCTTACACATTCATTCTTAGTTTTTGTGTCGGAAATATGAGCGGACACAATTATGAATGTAAAGAAATCAGTCACATTGTCAGTTATTGCAAATGGTCATAGAAACGAAAGATAAAGCTGGAAAAGTCTGGTGCTTATTCAATGTCCCTGGAAAGCTAGAAATTATTCTTATAACCCAATTACGAGAGGTCATCCCTATTATTCAGTCAACTTACAAAACCTAGACTTAACGTTTTAAGAAAAGTAAGGAATTTCTGGAATGTAACAAATGCTGTTCGTGTATTAGATCTACATTGAAGATGTATTCTAGCACTAAAATCGATTTGTACTTTTCATAGAGAAACTTCATTGTGACTTTTATAAGCTTTCGAGAAAATATGCGAATATTCACGATTATATTAGACACATAAAGTTGTGTTTGGAGGAATTACTTCATAGCGATTTGTGTGCCCGATGGATAAAGTTGCAAAATTACAGCTTTCTATTATATGCGCAGATACCATCTTTTCTGAGTATCTGTACCAATGCTATTTCGTTCATGTTCCAAAAGTTCGACAGATTTTAACGAGGTCTTTTTTTTATATTTGATTTTTTGTTCATTCACGCTAGTCCAAAAAAATTACAATTTAGCATTGCTGACTCCAGCGCGTCTAACGAAATAACCAGACAAGTTACAACATCCGTTCTTTTTTGAGTCTCAAGAGCAGAAATGCATGCTTTGGGTGCACTAAATGAGAATTACCATAAATACAAGGATACACCTTAAATTGTACGTTGAAAAGTACCAAAAGACCCTCGCGACCCCGACGTGATAAGGCGCCCTGCCAGAAACCCCCCGCAGCAACTAAAATTCCTCTGCCAGTGCGCCGTGTAACGAGCTATCAGTGCAAACTTAGAAAAAATGATCCGCAGGCGACTCATGTGGTTTCTGGAGACGACGGGCTGGCTGAGCGGTCTCCAGTGCGGATTCAGGAAAACTCGATCCACTCTGGACCACCTGGTCTGCCTGGAGACTTTTATACGTGAGACGTTTGCAAAAGGGGACCACATGATCGCCATCTTTTTCGACCTAGAAAAAGCCTTCGACACGACCTGGAAGTGCTGCATTCTCAGCGTAGCTGCCACTTTCCCGCTAAATAGCGGAAACTCCGCTTCATCTAGCTTTTCCCGCTACTTTCCTCCTTCCTCCGCTGGACCGCGCTCGGTCGCAAATTGCGATACTTTTTTACACGCGGAAAACACTGAACTGGGACAGAGACGAAAACGCAGCTTGTGCATGTCCGCCCGTAGCTTTCTACTTCCGTTCTTCTAAGCCTAGCGCTAGTTTCACTTTGTTTATTGAGGAGCAACACAGTGTCGATCGGACATTGGGACGGACGTTAGCACGCCAAGTTGTCATTGAAAACGGCGGAAATTCAAGAGAAATTGATGCAGAATGCAAAAATAAAAGGATCTCAGCTTGCTGCACTTTGCGTTTGGTGCGATAAAGAAATCGCGGCCCTTGGCACTCCGGCACGATTGCGGTCCCGTTTGTTTACATGACGGCTATTGTGGCTGTTGAAGTGAATCTAGGCTCTAGATCTAAATCTATCTCTAGATATAATCTAGATTTACACATATTTAGATATCTAGATTCTAGATCTAGATTAGATAGCCTAGGCTATAATTTTAATTCAGGTTAGATCTACACACTACAGAAGGACTAGTAAGTTAAGTGCAAACGGGACCGCAATTGTACAGGAGTGCTCAGTACAGCGGCAAAGGTGTTGCCTCCTTGATCCAATACTGCGCGCGCTGTACATCGATGTAGATCTACACGTTTAAAGTGAAAGAAATCTTTTTATAAGACACCAGCTTGCAACAAAAACTGGATTTTTAGTCACCAAGTCCAAACTGTGTCAAATTGACTCAACAAATACTTGTTAGTCTACTTAGTGCCTTTGTTTTTTGTTGTTGTTTTTTTTTCAAATACATTTTAATTCAGTTGCCTATGGTTAACAATTATGACAGTTTTCCTTTCCAAAACCATAGGCTACATTTTCCAGTATATATTGCGTCTGGATCTCACTGGTTTTACTCCGGCCTTCGGAGAGGGCGCATCCGCCTTGGCATGAATTTCCTCCTTTTTTTAAATTCCTGAGTGGCAGCTATGTCTCAGAGACCTACACGCTCTCGGCATACGCGGTCACCTCCCTGCCTTCATTGGCAATTTCCTCAAGAACCGTTCCTTCCAGGTTCGTGTCGGATCCTCCCTTTCAGACCCCCACCAACAGGAGGAGGGTGTCCCCCAGGGGAGCATCCTTTCTCCTCTCCTATTTGAAATAAAAATAGATTCCATTGTAAAAACCCTCCAAAATAGTATAGACAGCTCGTTATACGTTGACGACTTCTTGATATGCTGCCATTAAAAAAATCCCCTACTAAGATCTATGGAAAGGCAACTGTACAAACTTGAAAAGTGGGCTAACAATAACGGGTTCAAGTTTTCCCCCGTCAAAGACGGTTGCAGTACACTTCTGCCAATCAGGCAGACGAGTGCTGCAGCCGGATTTGACACTATGTTGGGAAAGGATTCCTGTCCAGGACCAGGCTCATTTCCTCGGCGTTATATTCGACAAAAAACTCACATTCATACCACACATCAAAGACCTTCGTGTGAGGTGCCAGAAAGGGTTAAATGCTTTGAAAAATCTATCGCATCCGGAGTGGGGCGGGGACTCAAAACACCTTCTTCACTTGTACATATCCCTTGTCCGATCCAGGCTTGACTACAGCTGTCCAGTCTACGGATCGGCAAAACCACACGTCCTAAAAATGCAAGACCCAGTGCAAAACCAAGGCCTCCGCCTCGCTCTGGGGGCTTTCCGCACTTCTCTGGTTAGGTGGAGAGCCTCCAGGCCGAAGCAAACATACCATCACTCACACTCAGACGCTCACAACTTTCACTACAATATGCAATTAAACAGAGCTCAACACCAGGGAACCCAGCATGTGACTGCATTTTTTTAAAAACCCTGAAACCGTAAACAAATTCCAAAACAACGAAAAACTCATCAAACTCTTTGGCCTCAGAATCCTTGAGAACCTCAAAAACATACACTTTTCCAAACAAGACATCCAACAACTTCTTTTCCCCGACCTCCCTCCGTGGCACCTCACCAAGGCAAAAGTAGACTTACAACTGACCACACTCGACAAAGCAAGCACAAACTCCAAAACATTTAAAGCAGAATACAAAAAACTTATATAGAAAAATACCCGGTGCGGAGCTTATCTTCACAGATGGCTCCAAAAAAGACAATGATGTGGGCGCCGCAGCCCTATCTTCAAACAGTACACATACCAGAGGAGACTCCATCCTGAAGCCTCTATTTTCTCTCCGGAGGCCACTGCCATTGACATGGCACTGGACTCCATAGAAAATTCTCCTAACAAATCTTTCCTTATCCTTTCTGACTTTGTGTCTTTTATCACCTCACTTACAAACAACACACTCCTACACCCAAAAATAGTTAGGCTGTTGTAACAAAGGATACACGTCTTGACTGAAACAGGGAAAGGTATGGTGTTCGCATGGATACCTAGCTATGTGGGCATCCGAGGAAACGAGCAGGTAGATTCAACGACGAACACAATTCCTCTGACTGACTTTAAAAATGAAGTAAAAAAGTACACCTCCTGTCTGTGGGAGAGCCATTGGAAAAAACAAAAAACAAACTTCTCAATATTAAACCCAAACTGGGACCGCGAAATCCTTCGAGCCTCTCCAGAAGAGACGAAGTCATTTTCACTCGATTATGCATCGGACACACGGCCCTAACACTCAAATACTTCCTTCATGGAGACGAGAAGCCGTTCTGTGTCGGATGCGACACAGATTTTACCATTAGAAACATTTTAACCGAATGTCTAGACTTCGGAGAGACCTGAAGGAAATATTTTAAATACAAAAAATTGAAAGATATTTTTCCCGTTGTTGTTCCCAGCAGAATTTCAGATTTTATGAAGGCCATTGGCCTTTATGGTAAGTTATAAAATAGATTGTTTGAAATTTTTAAGTGTTATTTAGAAAGTTGTTTTAAATTTAAATTTAAATGTAAAATCTATTTACACTCGATTTTTAGCGTTTCTACAATTTTAAATAGAAATATTGACTAGTATCAGGCAGAGAAATGAACTATTGAGAAAAAACCAACTTGTTTTGCGCGCTCATATGACCTTATGCAGTTGCGAGCGCTGCATTACATCATACTAAAACGAAAAAAACCTTCATAAGACCAATTTCTGATTCACATTCAGATGTATTTGTGAGGCATTGTGGTGAAATAAGGTGCTCGTCAAAATAATGCAATCAAAGAAATCAGCATTTTTCCCCCTTTTTTTTATCTAATTTTCTTTTTGTTTGCATCCTTTTATTAAACAGTTTTCAATTCGTGTGTTACATTGTAGTGTACTGAATGTGCTTTTCTCTCAGGAACGACGAATTGATCGTTATGACGATTCAGTGATGGTCCGTCTATTACAGAAGCCGTGTGTGGTGAGAATTTGGATAGCTTTAAAAAAGATTGTGTCTGACTTAAAATTGTCACAAAATATTGTGATTGCTTATACTACTGTCATATTTTTCTTCAGTCCATTTTATTGTGTATAATATACTGATGAGTAAACAGTGTAGAGAAGTGAATTGTTTGGAATTAAGTACAATTTATACTGCTATCAATATACTGGCAGCTAAATCTAATTTTCAGAATTTTAATGTATAAAAATGTTCACAGTATTGGGTAAGCAAAATGTCATTGCTATATTAATTTGAGCTGACTCTCAAGTATTTGTTTCATAAGTGTATCTTCCCTTTTGAGATCTAGATGCTTAAATTTCAGGCCTCATGTGAATATGTAATCCAATGTTTTGTTTGTATTTACTGGGATAGATCTATCAAAATTAAGGACTTTAATTTTTGGTCAGACCCATGAAACAAAGAGAACAATGCTTGTTTCAGATCTGGTACAGGAAAATGAAGTTCTGGTATTTATTTCATTTTTTGACAGGCAAATCGATCATCTGGCCGTGCTTACTTCCATCATGGCATCAAATGTGATGCTTGTAACAAGAATCCCATCTGTGGCGTCCGCTACAGGTGCAAGGTCTGCTTTAATTTTGACCTTTGTTCTTTCTGCAAGATTAATGGTCGTCACTCGGATCATACTATGGAGGAATATGGCCCATGTAGAGAGAACAAGACTGATCCCCGTTTCATGTTGACTTTGAGAAATTGGATACAACATTTACAGGTCAAAATAGCTGTGGTGCAAATTTGTGACATTATTTTTGTTTGTAATTTCTTTTTATTTTGATTTCCTTTGTTTGAGAAGCACAATATTTAAATTAAATGCAGTTGTTTTGTGTAAATGTTCCAGTGGTCTATTTTGGCTTGTTTTGATATGCAAGTCTGTTCAGGTTAGAATGATAAAGGCAGTAGAACTGCCAGACGGATGATCAGAATTGTGTCATCATCATTGCCTTTCTCACCCTGGATCAGGATATAGGCCATGAACAAACACTTTCCACCTTTCCCTATCCTGGGCTAGTCGCTTGATGTCACTCCAGGTCTTTCAACTTTTCTGCACATCCCTTTCCGTGACTCTTCTCCAGGTTCCTCGTGGTCTTCCTCTTGATCTTTTACCCTGTGGGTTCCAATCTAGCACTTTCCTTATTATGCAGCTGCTTGACTTCCTGAAAGTGTGTCCAATCCATCGCCAAGGCCTTCTTCCTACCTCACCTCAGACTGGGCTCTGTCTTGTTCTTCTTAATACTTCCTCGTTTGTGATCCTGTGTGTCCGTCTGATCCTCAGTAGCTTCCTCAGACACCAGTGCCCTTTAATGCCCTATGCCACTATCTTAATGCTTCTTCCAACAGGCCCCACCCCCGCCCTCATACTATTTTTGCTATTTTACATTCTTCATTTAACAAGTCGTAATGTGGAAGGAAAAGGATTTTAGCTTTATACGTAGATTTATTGTGCTTATGTGTTTGCCAGCAGCTGATCTGCTCCACCTGTTAAAAATCTTAAAATTTAATGCAGGTGTTTTTTTTTGCCCCCATCAACACGATTAGATGATTTAAGAGGTGACTTTAGGTCCTGCATGTCAGGGCCATCTTGGGATGAGAAAGATACACCATTTCGGTATAATCGAAATGTGTGTATGTGTGTGTGTATGTGTGTGTACACATGGTGGAACACCAAACCAATATGCCAGGATCTGGACAATAAAGATGTGTCTTATCTTAAAAAAAAAAAAGAAGAAATGTGACATCATGATGAAATCAGGCACTCATCAGAATAGTAAAATCAAAGAAACATATTTTCCACCGGTTTGACGATTTTTTGTGATCAAAGTTTTTGGTTTTTTTTGGCTGTACACATTTATATATCCATTTAAAAACTTGAAGTCAGCATAATTTGGCGACCATTTTCTTACTATTTCAAACCTCTGACACCAGGCCCACCTCCTTTAATCTAAAATACCTTGACTTCTATCGATGATAAATGGGCATTTTTTTTTCACCCAAAGAAAGGCAAATGAATAGGGTTTAAGAACGTCCGTATGCTAAAAAATTCAGGAATGCCTGATTCTACCGCATCATGGCACAAATTGTGTTGATGGAATTGTAAGAATACATGTATTTTTCTTTAATCTGCTAAGAAAGATTTCAATTCTTATGCTATTTAATGGAATGTTAAAGTGTTTTTTCTTTCAGGAGCGAGAGCGATATTCTTTGGGAAATCATGATGGGGTGAGAATTATGATCTTTTACTCTTTAATTTTTTTACCCCAAAAAATGCATGGAATATTGCTGGGGTTTATTCTGTTTTTATATTTTACTTTAATCCGTTTGAGAGCATAAAAGTGGTAGCACATACTTGTTTGTATTGAATTGCAGTACTCTTATTTTGAGATTCTGGCGTAATATTTGTTTATGCTTGCAGTAAAGGGTAAATGTAATGTTGTAGATGCTTTCCTAGACTTCTCTTTCGTAACCTAAGCTTATATTTTTAGATTCAGATGCGTATTTTAGACTATGAATGTGTAAGCACATTTATATCTTTTGGCCACTCATGTCAGTCAGTTGAATGAATTAAGAGCAGTTTTAATCTGCTCAGTACAGAAAAGGTATTGCTTTTCTTGACCATTCCTTTTTGTGTAAGATTTGCTGTTTGGTAACCTAAGTTCTCCATCTCTTTGTTTTTTCGTGACAGGAAAGTGAACCGTCTGAACATGACCATATCCATTTCAGCATTCGATGTGATGCTTGTGGCGTGTGCCCCATCCGTGGCATCCGCTACGATTGCAGGACTTGCCTTAACATTGAAATTTGTGCAGACTGCAAGGCTCTGGGACGTCACTCTTTTCATTCCTTGCGAGAGATTGTCACAACTAGTGCCCAGAGGGTATCTCATTTATTCTTTTTAGGGGGCTGTTATTTGTTAAGTTAGGTAGATATTTTATGGAATGTCACCTTATCTTGTTTTAGTAAGTTTTATAGCACTTGCTACACAATGGTCAGCTAAATGCTAGAGATTACAGGTGTTACAAGAGATTAAAGAGCACTAAGAAGAAGGAGGAGGGATGAGGAGGATAGAGGTTGGATAGGAAAGAAGGCACAAACCACACCGGAACACCCGCCATCTACCCAAATCAGATTATCTGGTGCCGCTTATAAACGTTATTGGTTTTTTCTTCGCTTTTTTCTTTTCAATGTCCTTGTATTCTGATTTCATTTGATGATGTAGAATATTTAAACCCCTGTAGTTATGGCCTATTTGCATGTTTTGGCTTGTTTTGACATTTAAACATGGGTGCTGGTCCACTTGATGGTCTACATTGATTTATCTGTTCTACTTTTCTCCTTGACGGGCCACTGCTGGATCAATCTGACAGCTGTGCAACTTGACAATCTCCTAGTCTACTATATTTCACAATGCTAAACCTTTTCCATGCACATCAAGACAGGCTTGGGACTGTCATTAGAGGCAATAAAATATTTCAAAACCCAATTTTGTCCAATTGATACAGCAGAGGTAGACAGTGATCGGTTAGGTGGGACTTATGATAGAAAGGATTATCGTGATAGACTGTAAAGTGTGATTGGCTGCAAAAGTGGCGGAGAAATGAAAAGTATCCATGACTGACAACGCTACTATCTGAACCAGGGGTCAGATTACCAAGGAAAGGCCACTGGAGGTAGAGTGTGGGTGAGCCTTGGCTGCATTAAGTATTCCACTACAAATGAGATGTTGAAACACTTCTTGGGCTGTCAAGACAAATTAATACTCCTCCTGATCTACAATCGTAGTTGGAAGACAAGACAAGAGACAGGTCCCCCAAGTCTGGCGAGAAGCAAATGTTGTTGAGCATGTAAATAGCTACAGACCCCCAAGTATCAGCAGCTCTGTTGGCAAACTCATAGAAAGAATAGTCAGCACAAGATTATCTGGCATATGGAGAAAAATAACATCCTCTCCCATGAGCAAGCATACTTCCGGCAGCATCGCTCAAATGAAGACCAAATCACCCACATTGTGCAGAAAGTAGAGGTTGCTTTCCGAGCTAACTGTATGGATAGACCTGAAAAGGGCTTTTGACAAGGTCTAGAAAGATGGGCTCAGACTAAATCTCCACAAGACTGGTATAACTCATAGCGCCGAAAACTAGCCGAAATCATGCCTCTTAGTTTCTCATCCCAGCGACATGTGGAAGTCATTAAATCACCGTCAGATCCACACCGTGCTGGGTTACATGGGGATCACTGGCCGCTCTGTATGCGCATCAGCTACAGGTGGGCAGGTCATAACTTAGTCAACTCTTTTGACACTAAATGTAGATGCAGCATCCTCACTGTAACCACGGAATATTCCATACCACAAGAAAAGACCAAGTCTCCCTCTCAGTCTGCGAATACCCGACCTAAATGCTATTATATTTGCCCATGTTACTGTGTGTACAACATGTTCTCAATTTCAACAAATTTAATCTTAATCTACTATATTTTTCGCACTTAAAGCTTTTTAAATTTCTAAAGTTGTCCATAAATTTCACTGATTTTTGGTACATGTACGAAGAACATACATTGTATTGTTCTTTCATGTTTGTAAGTTTCTTGAAAACATCACCTTGTTTCTAATCATCAATGATATCATCAAGGACCTACTCTGAAGAATACAGGGAGCCATATATGCAGATAACCTTGTCCCGTGGTGCTCAGAGGAACTTGTTTCAAATGGGCACCACTGCAAAGATCAGCTTTGACTGCGTTGACAAAGTTCAGAACCAGGCTGCTTGTGTCATCACAGGAGCTCTGAAATCAACACCAATAGCTGCACTTGAGACAACATCAGGACTCCAACCCATGGAAAATACCGGAGATGAAAAGATCCTGACCCAAACGGCGAAATTCAGGAGGCTAAAAAAAACTCCCCTTGAAAACTAGAAAGTCACACAGCCAGTGCAAAACTGACTTTAAAAAGCAAGATTTGCACACCGGAGCAAGAACTGGAGCATCAGTATTTGCCCATAAATGAAAATCCCTGCCTGAAGAGATCCCCTTGTTTACTGCTGGGCCCACCTGGGAAGATCTAATCGCTACACATACAAAACAGCTTCCCATGAGTAGAAAGGACTCACAGACCTGCCTAGGAAGAAGGGCTCTGGCATCCGAACGCCTTGAGAAATGCTATCCGAAGGAACTATGGACGAGTCTACCCAGATGGATCGGCTGAGGATGCAGTTTGGAATGGAGGGGCAGGAATATACATTCAGTTCCCAACAGGAGAGGAAGTCAAAGACAGCGTTGCAGTTTGTCTCCACCCTAAGAGTACAAAGCTGAAATAGTTGTTCTGAAAACTGCAGCTTCTCGAATCAGATCTGACCCATGCTCCTCTCACAACATGGTCCTCCTCACAGACACTCTTTCTGTATTACAAGCCTTTCAATCAAACAGTGAAAGTGACTTAAATGACCCTACTACAACGATTGCAGACCTCTACAAAAACCACACAGTTGTGCTACAGTGGATACCATCTCACTGTAACTTGTTTAGGAATGAGATTGCTGGTTCTTTAGCAAAACAAGGGTTTCACTCAGAGCAACCTGAAAAATGGACAAGCCATTCAGAGGCCAACTTCATCATTAAAGGGGACTATGGTGGAAGGAACAACATCCACACTATAACCGGGACGGCCCCTACAACCTCCTCACCTGTCAAGAGTAAGTCGTTCTGTTCTGATATAGAACAGGACACAACCGACTGAAAGACCTCCTCCACATGAATTTCAAGGTTGGAAATTTAGAGCAGTGTCAGTGGGGAACTGTTCTAACAGGGAACCATTTGCTGCGAGCCTGCCCAATGCTTGAGGCGCTTAGAAGGAAATATTGGCTCAACCCTAGCCACCTAGCCAAGGAGACACAAAACCCGATGGAGACCTGGAGGACCTGCGGTGAAGAGCTGCCTTTGCACTAGAGACTTGGATATGTCCATGTAAAGATAAACTAGAAGAAAGAAGTTTACCACACTCAAAAAAGGGTTTCACCTTTATATATATATTTTTAAAAAAGTACAACTTAAAAAAATTTGTTAATAAGATTTATCCCTCTTTTGTAGGCTGGCATAACCACTCTGTAGCAATAGTTCACTTATCTCTCTTTGTACCATAGAAAAAGTTTCCATTTCCAATTCTCTTGTTACGTAAAGGCGTTCTTGTGTTTTTCTCTCAGGAACGAATAATGCACGGAGTTGGGGACGCTATGATGGGAGCGTCATTGGTAAGAATTTAGATCTTTTTTTCTTTATATGTGCCACGGCGCAGTGGAATCAGGCGCTTGTCAATTTTTGGGCGTATGGAGTAATTAATATCATCTTAAAGCTTGTTTGTTCATTCATCTTGCATTTGGCATAAGAAGTACCCATCTTGAAAAGAAGTTAAGATAGTTGAGTTTGAAGAAGGTGGGAGTCACCTGGTGTCAGAGGCAAAGTTAGCGAGAGAATGGCCGCCAAAGTTTCGAGACTTTCAAAGCTTGAGTGTCCTTGGAAACTGCAAATTTACCATTTTTTGTGCCCTTGATCAATGTTTGTTAATGAAATCCACAGAGAAATGTGTTCTAAAATGGATTATATAGAAGCAGTTGAATCAAAAAACGAAAATTACAAGAAAAAAAATTGCCCAGTGACCCGAAAAGTGACGGCCTCCTTGGTTACATTATTTTAACGAGCGTCTGATTTCACCATGCTGCCTCACATGCTTACTCAGAAATACATAGTGTAAACACGGTACGTAGGCTGACTTGTGGACCTCTGAGTGGGGGGGGTGGTTTTGGTGAAATTTGGATCGTTCGGATTGCTGTTTCTTTGCTCTGTTGCAATAAAATACCAAATGCTGCACGCCATGAAAAGGTTTACTTTTCTTTGCTACAATGGTGTAAGCTATTTGTGTATTTGGAGCTGGAGAATCCCCGTGGAAAGCGAAGCTCCTTGCGCTCGGAATGGGAGGTCAGCCGGTTAAACGATTGACGCCTGTGCATTTGAATGCTTGGTCGAAAGATTGAGGATTAAATACAATCTTCAATTGGCAGAGAATTACAGAGCTTTGGATGGGGTTTCTGGTGGTGTATTTTTTGCCTTTGGGGTTTAAATAGATAACGTTTAATTTAAAAATATTATAAAAGATTTCAGAGGTCATATTTTACATGAAGCAAGATTATTACCAAATCCTCAGAAGACATGTCTTCCGTGTGGAATAGAAAAATTTGTAAGACAGTGATGAAATATTTGTCTTTCTCTCTCTCTTTACCCATTAAAAAATTTTTTTTGAGTCATGGTTTTGGTGACTTTCTTGAAAATTCAAAGTGGAAAATTAAGTTGTTTTCATTGAAAGCAGTTTGAGCATTGCTTTGGTTTCACTCGTCTCCATTTTCTTTTCTTTTTTTTTTTATTGTGTAAGTGTTTTACGGCGCTCGCAGCTGCATTAGGTATATGAGTGTGCGGAACACATCAAACATTTTTAGTTGGTAGGAAATTTTGAATTTTGCCCGGGTGGCGGCTGCAGCCTACTCTTATGAATTTTGGACCTCCTAGGGACCTTTAACATGTGCAACTTGCGCACGGGACCTCCGAGATTTTTCACCCTTATCTGAGGAAAGCTAGGTCTTAGATCTTACCTGTCATAAGATCAGGGCTGTGGCTGAAAGACAGCTGTAAGAAGTAGCCAAGATATAGCAGTAGAAAGGCAGCAGAAAGTGGAGACGAAAGCAGACGACAGAACATAGAGAGCATGAAAAAATGTGAAAGGAGAGAATTTAAGAGAAGAAAATTTTCTGTAATTGTCGAGATTCAAACCCTTGACTTATTGAATGAGAGGTGAACACTGTAACTTCTCTACTATGAGAGCCCCTTTCTATTTCTTGCAACCAGTGGGTTTTTATAATTTGGCATAAAACCATGACACTTGGAATTTTCCTTGGTCTTGCTTTATAAATTTTTGTATTTCTTTATGGAATGAATGTGCAACTCATAATATGAAGTTATACTGCAATTTAGTAGTTTCTTAGGCTGATGCACAGCTTCAAAGTTCACTTTATGAGCTAACCATCCCAGTACTTCGATATTTACTAGCAACTGACATTGTGACCCCAAAATAGACCAGATCTCTGATAAAGTAAAATATTTGGGTCAAACTTGTTAAAAAAAAAATTCCTGTTAATCTATGAGTTTTAAATTTGACCGGCAGCATTTTGAACATGATAATATAACTTATAAGTTTATTCAGGTCGGTCTATTTTTTAAACTATGGATAAACCTTTTAGTATAGAAAAGGAATTGTGGTTCTTGATAGTCAATTTTTGTTTACAATTTAGTATTAGAAAAATGTCTTCATTTATTCGCTTTTATTTGACAGGTAAATGAAGTGTCTAGCGATGGAAAAATCCATACTGGCATCATATGTGATGTTTGTGGAATGAATCCCATCCGTGGCATCCGCTACAAGTGCCTAGACTGCCCAAACTACGACCTTTGCGTGTCCTGCAGGGTAGCGAAGCATCACTCTCATCATCACACGGCGGAGATTGTCACTCCTAGGTCCCCTGAGGTACCCAGTCTGATCTTTCTGTCAGGGTTGCCTGGTTGGGGCAGATTCTTGTAGGATTATATTATGTACATCTGCAGGATCAGATAAGATAATAATGTTAATGAATAAATAGCTTTTGTATCATGCATATCCCCACTAGACAGCAAGCTCTATGTGCTTTACAATTTACACTGTATTATTACCCAAGTAGATCATAGAACACTCTGAAACATTCTCAGCTTCCCGGGAAGCATACAGTGCAAACAGATGATTAAGCGCTCAAACACTAACAAACAGGCCAGATCTTTCTGTCCATAGCCGGGTACCAATTCCCACCTGGGTGAAGTGAGGACACTACATCAGGCCTCTAACAGGATTCGAACCCGCATCCTTTTGACCTTATTAAATGGTTGCGAGTCTGAGAGTCTGACCACTGGACCACCGACACCACATAAGGGTGGAAGGTCATATTAAGTAACTCAACCCTAGGCCTACACTTCTTGTTTGTCAGCTGTCCCTAGAGATTTTTACCACTTTGAAATATTGATGATGTTTCTGACGTTAATTTTTAAAAAAGATTATTTCAGTAGCTATAATGGAGGTGGGGATAACCAGCTTAAACTTTTTCCACAGTCAAACTTTGATGTTTCAATTGTTCTTTCATCTGAGTATGATGCGTACATGACTCAGAAAACAAAGTCTTTGTAGGGAACAGAAAGAGATTAAGCAATAGTTGAAATTGTCATCAGTTCTGAAATTTCTGCTGCTAATGCTTGTCTCTTTTGTGCCATACTATACTGATGAACTGCAGTTTCACTAGGACAGGTTCTGTTTGTGGGTGGTCGGCAGGTTCTCTGGTGTGATTTGCTCCTTCTTTCCTGTCTAACATCTATCATCTACTTCGGTGCTACTGACTGAAGTGTGTTTAGGCCATTGACATGTTCCTATGCACAGTAAAATTGTAAATGGGCTGATTCATCAATGTCGTGCTCATAACTGCCTGAACTGCAAAGGGGGACTGCTGTTTTTCTTTCCTAATCCTTACTATCGTCATTTTTCCTTTACTTCTTTTGTATGTTTTGTTTGTGACACTCTTGTCACCCGCTATTTCCGGGGTGCCTTGATAGTCGAAGCAGACTTTGTGCTGTTGAAGCTAGAGAGGTGAGCAGAGTAAGCCTGATTCCCTGTAAGGACTTCTCTGTTGACATCCACCCCTTGGCACTTATATATGACCTTTTCTGTCCCCTTTGATTTATGCAAGAAAAATTCTGAAATTATGCAAATTGAGCCCAGAAATGTGAAATCAATTGTAACAAAGAATGATGAAGGAAAATAATAAGTAATTATGCAAAAAATGATCAAATTTTGTTAAATTATGCGGGGTGCATGAAACCATGGGGACCGCCTTATGCTGTTGCGAGCGTCGTAAAACCTCTACTAAACTAAAGTAAACATCTATCATCCTTAAAATCTCTTCTCCTTCATTTTTGTGTTTGTTTCTCCCTTGTAACACCTAGTCTTCGGCACTTATGTGACCTGATTGTGTTGCAAGTGCTGTAAAATGCTTACGGAAATAATTCAAAGGCTCAGTTGTATGAGCACTGGATGACATGGGCTCAGTGCCACCTTTAGTTCCTTCACAATATATTAGGTCGTAAGGCCATGATGTGTAACAAGACTTGATTCCCATCCCTAACATGCACACATTGATGTCAGCTGTCATTGGTCCTTTAGTATTTGAATTATTGGAATACTTTATAATTTTGGAAATTTCTAAGGGGTATCACCTCAAAGTTTAGGTCATGATACCATGCCTAGTTTCTCCCTCAATCTTGAAATTTGGCCCTTGAAGGCAAGGACCCCCCCCCCCCCCCCCTTCAACTTTCAGAGTAGTCTGCTCTATTAATAAATCCCCTGCAATTTTGTTACATTGTTGTTGTTGTTGGTGGGTTTTTTTTAGGTTTTTTTGTTTGTTTTTTTTGGGTTTTTTCTTAGTTGTAAGTTATAATCCTCTCAAGGTCTTTTTGATTGATCTTCCAACCGTACTCATATTTTCTTTAGCAAAGGATGCTGGATCGCAGGAGGGATCAGGCCATGAAGCTGATACTAAATGCCCGAGGTTCGTCCTCACGGCGAGTCACCACCTCAAACTCGACAGAGGCAGCAACAGGGGCCACTTCACAGTCAACTGGCCCCGATCACCACCGAGGAGCCAACTCGCCAAAGGTTTCAGACCCAATGAAATCTCATTTTGACGAAGTAGACCCAGAAGATGTTAAAGAGCGCATGACATGTCCGGTTTGTTTGGATAAAGAGAAAACTGTGGCTTTCAAATGTGGCCACTGCACTTGTTGGAATTGCAGTGAGCAACTTAAAAAATGCCCAATATGCAAAAAAAAAATCACAACGCGTATTCGTTTGTTCAACTAAAGTAATGCCAATTTTTTAGTTTTTCTTCCTTCTTTTATCTTTTCTGCATTGAGGATGTGATGTTGCCATGTCTTTCCGAATGCATCAAAAGTACAATTTTTAATTTTAATTCTTAAAAAAAATCTTTGACAGCACCTCTACTGTCTACTTGTTGAAGTACTTTCAAATCTTCTGTGTATTGTGTAGTTATTGACTAACAAATATCTTACATGACAATGACTTATATTTATTAGGTTCTCCCAGTGTTTTTTACACTTGTTGTCAAAGGGATGCTTTGCATGCTTTATATTTCCTTGTTAACATTTCTCATATTGACTCATACGGCTTCTACCAACTTTGGAATAGAGTGCCATTCCTTGAAGGCGTATCGTTTTAGCTATGAGATTGTGTGATCTGTATAAAGACTATGTGAATGTGAGTGCAGGCTCCACAACTGATAAAAGAAAACGAAATTTGTTCTTACACACATCAGGTGAGACAGTAACAGCTTATGTATTGAATTAAAACACTTGTTCAGTTTCAGTACTTTCAAGTTATTCATATCGTTATGGCTTGTTCTATACAGGTCTTGTCAATGGATGAAGCTATCTCTTCATTCTCTTTTTATTGATATTGATATATAGTTTACCTCTTACTTACAATGAATAGCGAACAACCGTTGATTGAAGATTGTGACCTGTGACACTTTGGTCCCATGGAATTTTCTTTAGCATCTGGAATGCATGTGTATACTGTTTGCAGTCAAGGAGTTCATTAAAGAAGTCTACCCAGATTTGCATATATGTATACTTGGTTTTTCATTCAAACAACATTGAGGAGATTGTTACACAACATTGAGGAGATTGTTATTTATCTTTTATGGCAGACCTGCATAGTACACTGAAACTGTTCATGTACTCTCCAGAGGAGGATTGCATTAAGTCATAGTAATGCATGCTGACAAATTCAAATTAGTTTTGGAAGAATGGATTTCAGATGCTACTCACATTTTCAGTATTTATTTTGATTGAATACGTTTTGTTGACGTTGTAGCCACAAAAATTTGTATTGAGATACTGGTCAATATTTTGCTCAATATCTGTATGTATCACTGATGTTGTAATAAAATGTTTAATAAATGTCGTACATAAATAATGTGTATAATTGTACTCTGCA